CATTCTTTTTGTGGTTGCCATCCCCATCTCTACATATGCTGAAATTGAACTCAAGAGACCAGACCAACGTCATTCTAATCAGCGAACAATAAATAGTATTGCTAGAATTTATATCATAATGCTACAAAATTAGCATTGGGTTTCTTAGCGTCTCTTCTTCAGAGTATCTGTTCATTACGTCTTGCATTATATAGTCTGTTCCCATAAACAATTTAAAAAAAAAAACTCTTGTGAATTTCTACATATATATATCTATCCTCTCTGTATTATAGGGAAAAACAAGTTGTAACAAGACAGCAAAACAAATTCCTAGAAAAACATGCAATGGATAAGACATATAAGACCACAATATAGGTGATCTTCCGTAGTTACTATGTTTTCTCTTGTTATTTTCAATAGATTTGTCCACAGCATCGGCTTAATATAGTTAAACATAGTATCACCTATTTTTATAAAAAAACAACTTTGAAAGCATTGTAGGATTTGAAAGCTGTTAATAATTAAAACCCGTATGGATATCTGTTACATCTTGTCATCTTCAGAGTAGTTGCCTCTACTTTTAGGGTTGATACTAACAAGCATACCAAATTCAAATAAAATCAGCCAAGGCCAACCCATGGTCTTATGAATCGGATTCAATTAAGATCAGTCATAGTAAGACAATGTATGTAATACAGGATTTCAGTTTAAGTTAATAGGAAAGTAAGGATAGTTACCATGGTATAACCTGCTATTTTGGGGTCAGATGTCTGTACTCTCAAATCTGACATGAGTGGACAGACCAGAACAAATTAAATTCAAACTAAATATGGCGATAAGAATACTGTGTCTTTTAAATCCTGATACACTATTAACAATGACCTCTGCCTTTGTTTATAGTGTTTCAGAGCTGTCTATACTAAAGACTATAGCTTACCGTCTCTGCCTCATGTCTACTACTACACTTTTCTGCTATAATTTGTCCACCTTATTCCCTCAATCCACTGTCTGCCCCGTTCACTGAGGCCTCTCTGCCACTGTTACTGGAATCCTGGTATCCCTTCCTCTGTTTCTCTGGAATGTCCTTCAGCACTCTCTATAGGGTTGGATTGGTGGCCACGAACTCCCACAGTTCCTCCTTGCCTTGGAAGCATCTTATTTCTCCATTAATTTTGAGAGAGAGTTTTGACAGGTATATGAGTCTTGGTTGCATATTATTTTCTTTCAGGACTTGGAATATTTCTCCCCATTCTCTTCTTGACTTAAGAGTTTGTGTTGATAAGTCTGTTGTTTGATAATTTTCCTGTTGTAGGCAATCTGCTTCTTTTCTCTGGCTACTTTTAATATTCTGTTCTTTTGGTGGATTTCTGGAATCTTGATTATTGTATGTCTAGGCGTAGATCTGTTTTGGTTGGAGGTAGCTGGTGTTCTGTATGCCTCTTTTATCTGGATATCATTTCTTTTTGCTATACATGGGAAATTTTGCCTTAATATATCTGTGAATGTTCTTTGTATTTCATTTTTGGTTGCTCCTGCTTCCTCACTCACATTCTTTATTCTTAAGTTATGTATCTTTTTGTCATCTTCTAGCCTTTGAATTGTTTCTTTCTGGTTCCTTGTTATTTTTAAGAGGTTTTTTTCTTTCACGATCATATGTCATAAATCTCTTCAAGTTTCAGAAGGCTGGCTTTAGTTTCTGTCAGAATATTTTGCCAGTGTTCAATGGAGTTTTTAGTTTCCTGGTTATCTCTTTGGATCTGTTTCATGTATTCTAAGTTATGTTTAAATTCTTGTTCAGAAGTTTCTCTTTCTTTTCTGATTTCCTCAGTTCTTCCATCTGTGTTCTCTTGGGTGGGGCTTGTCATTTTTTAATTAATCTCTTTATAGCTTGCCTCACTTGGATCAGGAGTACAGCTTTAAATTCATCTATGAGGTCATGCAGGTATTTTTTAATTTCACCTGATGCTGTGTCCAGTATTGGACAGTTATTGTGCTTGTTCTCTTCAGTGTTTGCTTCTCCTGAGCTTTTTTTCCTCATGTTGGGCAGCTGGAGATTTTTTTTAAAATTTTTATCTCTTGTCATGTTTCTGGTTTCTTTTAGACTGGAGTGTCTTGGGGGTCTCTGTCCCTCTCCGTATTACTTAGGGCCTTTCAGAAGCATTCTGGCTTGAATTTTTGCTGTCCTCCCCAATTTGCTGTTATCTGAGGCAGGCAGGGATGCAGGGATGGTGCAGGCTAGCCTCCAGCCTCTGTGCCAGTCAATCCATAAATTAGGCTGTACTTTCTGGATGTCACAGAGTTGCGACTATTTTGTATCTGCTTATTGTGCCCCAACCAGAGGCTTGGTTCAGCCCCAGCAGATCCTGCCAGTTCTCTCTGTGCCAGAAGCAGCTGACTAATGTCACTGTGGCACATGGTTCTGCCCAAATCCCAGCTGTTCTCTTCCAGACCTCTCTGTCCCAGGAGCACCAGGACAGCAGGTCTGCCCAATTCCAAGATGTCTTCCACTAGTTCTCTGTATGACGCTGAAGCCAACATGGCGTTAGGCTTTGCCCAATTTCAAGATGTCCTCCACCAGACCTCTCTACAGGGTGACTCGGTGATGTCACTGAGCTGCAGGTTCTGCCCAACTCTAAGATGTCTTCCGCCAGACTCTCTGTGTTATTGATGTCCCTGTGGTGGTGGGCTCTGCCCAGTTCCAAGATGTTTTCTGGCCAACCCCAGCAGCCACGGGACCCAGTCCCCAGTACTCACCAGGGCTCGGTGCAGGTCCTCCTCTTGAGTCTACTGCACACCACGTCGCTTGCCCTCACTGCGCTCCCAGCACAGTGTGGAATGGTCGGAAAACTGCACAGCATTTGGCTTCGGAGCTCCAGAGCCTTTCACAATCTCTGGTGCAGTGGGGCAGTCCTGGCTGCTTCGTGGGGTCCCGGGTCTCAATTTCCTGCAGTCACCAAAAGCCAACACATCTTTTCCTGTTGGATCCACTGGTCAGTTTGCGCATTAAAGGTGCGGGATTTGCAGCCTCCCGTTATCAGCCTTCACAGTCTCAGCACAACTTTAAATCCTCCAGCCACGCTGTCTTGGTTAATAAGAATCATTATCCATTTGTCTGGCCCTCTCCATGTTGTCATATTCTAGCATTAATATGATTTCTCCAGAGAGACTTTCCGCCCAATCCCCTAGCAAGCCGCCATTTTTTTCCTAAATGGTTATGTTTTGACCTGCGCTGTTTTGTTGTTATGCCCTCTTTTATCTCAATCTCCTTTTTTTGTTTACTTTTTTATTTTCATCTTTTTAATTAAGGGAAAAATAAATAAAAAATAGCAGGATATATTATAGTAACCCACTTTGATTTCCTATTAACTTGATTTGAAACCCTGATTGCCCTTGCCATCTTGTTTTGACTGATTTTCCTCTATTTTGCTTTGCTTGATAGTACCAAGTTCGAAAGTATAGGCAACAACTGTGAAGACAATAAGATTCATTATGACACCCATTCTGGTTGACTATTATCTTCTTTTAAAGTCCTGTAATGTCTCCAGTGTTTTGGTTTTATTCTTTACTGTTTTGTTCAATTTTATTATAAATGATGATATAGGCAATTCTTTTTAAGATAGCAAGAGGCAGTATGGTAACCATTGTTGATCACCTTGTATTTGGTTTTACATTATCTATTATGTCCATCCTTTTGATTTTACTGACTCTGATCTGTTATGTCACATTTGGTTTTACTCTCTACAACAAAAAGTAATAAGAACTGTGGGAGTAATAAAACCCAAAATGTGTAATTGTCATTGTACAAAAGAGAGGAAAAGAAAGTGCTCTAAAGGATAAAACTGCATATATATTTAAGTGTATTAGATAGATGACCATATTACTGAGTTTTGTTCGATCATTGAACAAAGCTGTTTGCAGTCTCACTGTTTGAAAGCCCACTTTATATGCTTTAATTTTGTAACTTGAACAACTATTTCTAAGATAACAATATGTAATCTATTAACTACTTTCCTACCGTTTATTTTTTCTGAAATTCTGTATAACTTGTTCCCTTTTTCTGTTTTTTTTCCTTTTTCTCCTTAAATAAAATTTTAAAAAGAATTTAGACTTTAGCAAGTTAGTTGACTTATGTAATGTAAATATAAAATCAGAATATGTTATGAGGACAAAAAAACCATGTCGAAGTACATTGTATGGTTCGTGGCACATAAAATAAATAAATATTAATTATTCCTTTGTTTTCCCTATCATAAAACCAGGATATTTTAAAATTTCTGATTACTTATAAAAATTTGTAAATAGAACACATAGTTGGCACATACCTGTACCCCAGCACTCAGGATACTGAGGTAGGAGGATTGCTTGGAGCCTAGGAGTTCAAGACAAGCCTGACAGTGTAGCAAGACTCTGTCTCAAAAAAAAAAGCAAGCAAGAAAGAAAAGAATTTAAAAGTGAAGGATAAATCTTTAAGTAAAAAAGGCCCCAAATGTGTAATAGATATTATGGAAAAGAAAGAAATTGTCCAAAAGGGAAGAAAAAGGAACTAGAATGGGAGAAAGGTAAAATGAAAAAAGGGAAAAGAAAAAAAAATACAAGATAGTTACACTGCTAGTTTCTCTTAGTTCACTGAAAGGAAAGGTTTGTGCTAACATTGCTTGGAAAATTTTTTTATGCCCATGTTTTGTACTCTGAGTAATTACTTTAAAGATGGCATTACTCAATGTTATTCTCCTATTATTTTGTATGAAATTTTGTTTTACTTTTTTTTCCATAAAAATCTTTAAATGATTATTTGAGTTTTATGATTGTTTAAAATATTTTTAAAAATTATTGCTCTCTAGGTAGATATGTTGATGCATGCTTGTAATCCTAACATGCAGGAGGCTAAAGCAGGAGGATTGTTGTGGGTTCAAGGCCAGCCTGGGTACATTGTGAGTTCATGGCCAGCCATAGTGAGACACTAGCTCAAAAAACAAACCAAAAAAAGCCCAAAAAATAATTTTTCCCAAATTTTTTTTCAGGTGCTAGTGGAGACCATGTTTATACATACAGTTATAATGCTCAAAGAGAGGATTTTGGTGCCCATGATGCAACAAAACTGGATACATGGGTTTTTGATAATGTTAAGGTATGTCCTAGTAAATGGTTAATCTAAAAAACACATATTTACCTAAAGTACAGAAACTAATTTCTTAGTAAATATATATGAGGTTCCTTCAGCTTGTATAAACTTCCTATGTTGTACATAGACACATACATTAATTTAGATTAGGTTTGGCTCTGCATAGTAGGAAAAAAAATTATTTAAAAGTTTATTTTTTCTTGCCAATGGTAGGCATCTAGAGATTGGTACAGTCCAAAACACTATATAGTCAATAAGACTCAGTGTCCTGAAATTGTTCTCTATGTTAGAGCATGAGTTTTATCTACCCGGTCATGTCACAATCTAAGAAAATGCTGGAGTTCTCGCCATTATTTTCAGTTTTAGGCCAACAGTATGAAGATAAAGAGAAACTTCTCTCCTACTGAATTACTGTAAGAAAAGGTGGGAAATGTGTAGGTTTTAAGTTTTGAGATGTCTCATAAGATCAGTGTTTTTTATTCAAGGAGAAATGGAGAATCATACCCATCAAGCAGGCTCCAGGATACATAATAAATATTTTCTGGGTATAGAAATTAATGAGTGCTTTGAATAGAGACACTGTATGAAAGTAGAGCCAAAGTATACTAAATGCTGGGGGGCAAAGAAGCTAGGAACATATTTCACATCTTGTGTCCAGAAGTTCAAAATGCAGTGGGTATCTAGCATGAGGGAGGTGTTAAATTCTCCCAGATTTTATTTCATAACTTCACAAACCTTGTATCTATTGCAAGACATGTAAATGAATAGCACTTTTTCCATAGATGAATATTTTTACCAATTATGGAATAAATTATAAGTTTATCTCAAGTCAGATGTTGTTATTGCTGTTCTTTTCCAATTAGATTTAAAATTTAATACTTTTTTTTAACTTGCCTTTACCATCTAGATTTATAATTTCTCAGGGACTAAGTAGAATGTATATGAAAGTTGGGGTCAATTAATTGAGTTCTTTGAAAAAAATACTCAAATGTGTTACACTTTATGAAAAAGTTAAATATCTCTTGTTATAAGTTAATATCCCTATAATTACAGTCATTTATATTAACAATTATATATTTTGGCATGGTCTTTTGACGTATTTAAAATAATTTATAAACATTCTCTGTAAGTATTTAAATACATGTTCATATATTTGTGAGTACAGATAACTCATTTATCTTATGGTTTTATGAATCCAGTTTATCCAAATAAAATTAATAAATTTTGAACTGTATTTCATTAAGTTCTATTATTCTCTCACACTGTGTGAAGAACAGCTTTTACTTGGGGCAGAGGAACTAGTTAGGAGATCATTCATGATGAGCCAAATGAGAGATTATTGTTGGACTAAAGAGGTGCAGATAGAAGTGAGAAGTGTTCCAGTATATTTGAAATTAATAATTTCTTTTTGTCCTATTATTACTATCTTTTGGTTTTGGTTCTTGCCAAAATATTTTCTCTGATCTGTTGTATTTTATTAAGTTAAATATATAGTAAAAATGATTTTAAATGTTCATGAAGTTAAGTTCCCCTTTTTAGAACCTTAGGCCTAAGTGTAACAGAAAATAGCTGATTTATTTGAAAGTAGATGTTTGGGCTGATAACTTTCTGTTGTTAGATTTGGAGGACAAAACGAACAATGATAGTTTTGTAGTGATAAATTTAATTACATGTTTTCATCAGCTAGTGCTTCTTAAAGTAAATGAACTAAATTTTTTTTAATTGGTTTATTATATATAGGAATTCTTTCATGCTGCCAGAAACAACCAGTCTTTGTTTTCTAAAATAAATGAAGAAAAAATAGTTTTTTTCTTACATTTGTTAGGAATAGATACAAATGGACATGCTCACCGACCATCTTCAAGGTAATTTTAATGCTGTTTGATTTTTTTGAGAACAGTAGATACTGTTTGAATTTTAAAGTGTGATATCTTCTTTATAATTGTAACATCATAACTAATATCTTAAATAATTAATGTAACAAACAGTAAGCTTTGAGTTATATGATATGTATTATGAAGGAGTGATTAAAATCATATGTATTTATACCCCAACTATAGTTTAGCCACTTCTTATAACAGTATAAGGAAAAAAATAATAATAACGATAAAACCTCTGCTGAGACACTCTAATCTTCAGATCTTAGGTGCTCCCCCTATTGCATCAATAAAATACTTTTCCTTTAAAAAATATCATATGTATTTATCCAGACTAGAATTTAAAAAAGTGAAAGGTATCTTGCACATATATTCTGTGTTCTTCAGTTTTGTCCTTTTAATTATCTTTGAAAACTATTTCAAGTTCTTTTGTTTCACCAAAGTGAAAAAAAACCTATTTTTGATGATCTAAAGATCTGATTTTAATGTATTAAAGATTAATTTTGCTAGCACTTAAAATTCCTGATTTTTAATGTAAGAGTCTATGTGGAATAAATTTAATTTCTCCAAATTAACTTAATCTGTTCTGTTGTTTCTTTATGAACAGGGAATATAAGGACAATATTAAAATAGTTGATGATGGAGTGAAAGAAATTGTGTCCATGTTTAAACATTTTTATAGAAATGATGGAAAAACAGCATTTATCTTTACCTCAGACCATGGAATGACAGACTGGGGTTAGTCTAAGTGATATGTACCTTACAATTAAAGTAATGGTAAATATGATTTGCAAATATAATGTTGAGAGGATTAGATGTTTTCTTAAATATAAAGTTTTTAGCACAAAATAATCGCATATTTAAAATAGTAGTATGAAAAGGGCTGATCTTACGTTAAGAATCTTTCTCTAGTTGTAAAAAGAATGTATTGTCATTTATAAATGAAAAAGTAGAAAATCATATGGAGGAAAAAATAAACTATGTGTTATTTACATAGAATTTGCAGCGTGTATATTAAAGGGGTGATGTTAAAATGGTATTCACAATGGAACTAGGATTGCGAAATTGTATCCTCCTAAGCTTGTGCTCCCTGAGGTTTCCACCACAAATGTGCTAATATTCAGAGAGCAAAATATCACAAAGTTGAGGTTTGGGCCCTCAAATCACAAGATAGAATTTAGTAGGGTCTGTGTTCCACTTCATAAAAGGTTTCTTTCAGCTACCCTCCTGCAGTGGACTGAGTGAAAAGGGTCCACAGACCTTGCTGTTCTCTCCAGAGACACACACCACTTCCTCTAAGCTCTCATTTGTTTGTTTATTTATTTATTTTTTGGTGCTACTCTTATAGTAATGACATCTCCTCTATCATTTATTGTTATTTTTATTTTAACTAGAATCACTCAGTAGACAGTTTTGCTGTTTTGTTTGTTTTCTTGTTGTTTTGCTTGTTTTTGGCTTTTGCCTTTTGGGTGTAGATACTCTGACATTTTATAAGAATATTATCGGGCTGGGGATTTAGCTCAGCGGCATAAGCACCTGCCTTGCAAGCAGGCAGTCGTGAGTTCGATCCCCGGTAGCGATAAAAATGAAAAAGACAAAAAAAAAAAAAAAAATTAAAAAAAAAAAAAGAATATTATCAAACTAATTTTTTATGAAGCATTATAAGTATTAGGGAATATAGTGGCTAGAATTAATGATATATAGATCAACATATTAAAATAATGTATTTAAGAATTCTTATGTATTTGTCTTATTATTCATGATATCTTGTTTGTAGGTTCCCATGGGGCTGGTCATCCTTCAGAAACTTTAACTCCCTTGGTAACTTGGGGAGCAGGAATTAAGTATCCCCAAAAAGTATCAGCTCAGCACTTTGATGATGAGTTTTTGAAAGGTATAAATGTTTGCTTTGTTTTTATAAAGATATTTGAAAATATAAGTAAAATTAAATTTAAGAATTAATTTTTAAAAATCGTTTTTCAAATTTCAATTTTAAATCCTTTTTTGATATTTATGTCTACTGTTTCTGTGCAAATCAAGGGGTCAATTTTTGAGTTTTTTTCTTGTAGTCATTTGCTAAACATTTTCTAATATCCTCTTGCTAATAATATTTATTTAGAGTTCTTTAAATGTCTAGACACAAAATTTTTAACTTTGCTAATTTAATTAATTTGAATATATGGTAGACTAAATAAAGATAAAATAAGAATGTTTCTTAGAAGTAAATTATAAATTTGATTTCAGCTTTCCAGTCGAAACAGAAAGCAGTATACCAGATATCTTGGTACCATATCTATCTTTTTATCTAATGCGTATATCTTCTGGAATAGTCCTTTGCTTTCTCAGAATTTAACACTCTCTTAAGAATTTTAAAACCACTATAAACAGGCATGGTGGTATACATGTGCTTGGGAGGCTGAAGAGCCTTGAATTTAGGAGTTTGAAGCCAGATTGGATGACTTAGTGAGATGCTCATCTCAAAAAAGAAAAAAAAAATTGAAATAAAAATCAATCATAAATAAGTTACTGTTATAATTACTGCCATGAAAGAAAATAGGGTAATGTTATAAAACAAATAACAGTTAGGGGCTAGGGATTTAGCTCAGCGGCATAAGCGCCTGCCTTGCAAGCAGGCAGTTGTGAGTTTGATCCCCGGTACCGGTAAAAAGGAAAAAGACAAGAAAAAAAAAACAAATAACAGTTATCACTGGGCTCCTGAATTTTGTTTTTGCTTTTGTTTGTGGTAGTTCATTCCGAGTGCCACACGCATGCTGAGCACACTCCCAGCCCTAAAATTTTATGATGTTTAGTAAAGTAGGTAAAATACATTAACTATATAAAATATACACATATATAGTAGCTTAATGATTTGTTCTTGTATATATACACATGTAATCACTACCCAAATACACATATTTAATATTTATAGTACCCCAGAACTTTTCCTTATGGAGTAAGTTATTTTTCATAAATTAATCAAATAGTGCATTTGTTCACAATGATGATGAGAGAAGCTATGCATGTGAAGGTGAGGGAAAAAGGACTCCAGGCAGAGGAATTAAATGGAAAAAGCTTAGCTTATCTGAAGACAGAAGGAAAGCTGATATCTTAGTTTATCTGGAGACAGAAAGAAGGCTGATAATACTTGAGTTAGGGAGAGATCCTGAATTGAGAGGTTAGAGAGGTGAGGAATAGATAGATCATGAGAGTCATCAAAACCATGGGGAGGAACATGGACTGAATTCTGAGTGCAGTGCTAAATCATTAAATAGTGTTAGTCAGAGCACTGCCAGAATTGTTAGCTGAAGTAGCTGTCTGGCTGCTTTGTGGTAAATGAGTTACTTTGGGTTTTAATAGCATTCACCAAACAATGTATACATACTTCAGCAGTTTGCCATACTAAGAAATGCTTGGAAGCTAATAGCCACCACTTTAGTGCCTTTTGTGATTGTAGAGGCCAAAGGTAACTTGCATTAATCTCATGATGTCTTAATGAATATAATTTTAAAATATTTATACAAGTTTTTCTTTTCCTGGTGGATAGTTTTTTTGTTTTTGTTTTTTTGTGGACTCTGTAGAAGCTAAGATAAATGACATATTTACACTAAGTAAACTTTAACATTTTGTTTCTCAGCAAAATGATAAGAATTGCATGACTTCAAGAATCACTGGTCTGTGTTTTCTTGTATGAATATTGCAGTTTTTTCCTCATCAAGTGATTATTTTAAATGTTTGGCAGCTGATCAGTAAGAATAGGAAAATATTTTTAAAATATATTGACAAAGAAATTGCATTATAAAAAGTATTTTAGAATCTTTTTAATAGTGTATCTAAAAGCCATTAAATCAAGACCCAGTCTCTTATAATTACTTGTTTTGTTTACTGTTTATTAGTTGTATTCATCAGTGTTTATTGAAGTTTCTGGTTTTATATTTAGTGAGAGGAAAATATGGCTACCTTTGAAGGCAATTTTAATAGCTGTCTCAGTGTGCGATTAGAGCTAGTAACTGTAGAAGAGTCACAGATACAACTTCAAATATTTTGCGAGCAGCTTCCATTCCCCCACCAAAAAAAGTTTGGATTAACTACTCTGCTATTAACTTACTAACTTTCTGAAACACGCTGATAGTTGTTATCAGTGTGCTTTTTTACTTACATCTTTCCTGTTTTAGGTTTTGATGTTTTGAAATATGTATCTCCAAATGAGGAATTAAAAAGATTAAAAATCACAAAAAACACCCAATACTTATTTTTTGTTTATTCTTTTAAAATCATTATTATTGTAATAGTAGTAGTAGTATTTCGGTTTGGTGAATAAAACTCACAACCTCAGGCTTGCCAGGCAGGTGCTGTGCCACTGAGCTATATTCCTAGCCCTGAAGTTATTTTTAAAAAATATGTATCTTTGCCTTTTTAAGTACTTTTTCAAATTCATTCTTGGCTTTAAAAAGTCAAGTTTCCAATACTTACCTTTTCTGTGAAGTAATACATTTTCCTAATAACTAAATAATTCATGCTTTTAAAAATTTTAATACCAGATTTTGTTTCTGATTATGTCTTTCAGAATGGGGATTGGAGGAATGGAAAAGGAGAGATGTCAATCAGGTATTCATTTCAACTTAATGACATTTAATTTTATCTCGTGTAAATTCAGATAAAAGTATGAAAAATAATTGTAATTAGTAATGACAAAAGATTTTTCAAAGTATTTCACTTTACTAAGGACAATACTTTTAGTGCAAATATTTTTAGCACAACTAATTTCTCTTGTGTAAAATGTTTAAAACCTAAGTAAAAATAAAAGAAGATACCCTACAAATAATACTGGCTAATTAATTAACTTTTACATTAATTGAAATTTGCATGCTTGTTTAATTTCTGTGATGTTTCATCATGGTTGCAGTGTATACTCCATTTACAAATCTAATAAAACTGCTATTAAGACTTTCTTATGTCACTTGCTGTTTTCTTTTTAACACGTATTTTACTTTTAACCATATTTTAATTTTTACCTAACCAACATTTTTTCACATTCAGTGGTGAAAACATGATAAAACCGTACATTATCCAGCTAGAAATCTATCATTATAGGAAAAAATGTGGACAACCTAATAAAGTTAGATTAGCAGCATTATCTATTTGTAAATATTAAGTACACAATAATCGTTGAAGGTATGCTAATTAAATAGCCATCATCAATATATGTAGAAGGCATGACATCACTGGTATACAGTTTCCAAAGTGGCAGGAATATCTTGCTTTCCAGGTCATGCACAAGTTGACATTCCTTACTGAAATGACAAACCAGTGTCAGGGTTTTTACTTTCAGGCCTGTGGTTGCAGAAACTTGTTTCTTATAGGCATAGTAAGAATATTTTCTTCTCTTAGAAAGCATGTTTGTTAGCCACGTGTCTTAGTTACTTTTCTTGTTGCTGAGACACATTACCCAACACCCACAAGTTAAAGGAGGAAACGCTCGTTTTGGCTTACAGCTTATAGAGATTTTAGCCAGAGTCACCTTGCTCCAAGACTGTGTGTTAGGACAAAGCGGCATCACAGAGGAGAAATAGTTTATGGCAGGGCAGCCAGTCTGCCTTCCCTCTTTACCTTTATATTCCATCCAAACTATAAGCCTGTTGGTTGGTGCCATCCACACCCAGGGTGGAACTTCCCCAAATCCACACCCAGACCAATGCTTAACCAACTAGTGGACTATTTCAAGTATTACACCCTTAATCCACATTCACACACCCTAGATCCAGCCACCTTCAAAAAACTCTTCTAGGGGCTGGGGATTTAGCTCAGCCACATAAGCGCCTGCCTTGCAAGCAGGCAGTCGTGAGTTCAATCCCTGGTACCGATAAAAAAAGGAAAAAGACAAAAAAAAAAGCTCTTCTATAAGCACATGAGGCTTTGGGATTATACCAAATAAATGAAAGTGACATTTTCTGGTCACTGACATAGTATCCAACACCCACAGTTTAAAGGAAAAGAGCTTTAATTTGGCTTATGATTTCAGAGGATTCGGTCTGCCATAGTAGGTTGGCTCTAAGGCAGGAACATCATGGCAGAAGCGTATGGTAGAGACATGTTGTTTACCTCATTGTACTGAGGAAGCAGAGCAGGAAAACATTGCCATAGAGGAAAGGCCAATAGACCTCAAGGTCATGCTGCCAGGATCCACTCAGATATACCAGATATAGGTGGCTCCTAAGCATATCAAGCTGACAGTTAAGCAGCCTCCACAATATATGAGAATATCAATTTATTAATTTACTATTAAAAATCTCTTCAAAGGGTCAGGTATAGCTAGAAGGCCACAAAACAAGGAAATCTTTTATATCTAGGGAGACCAGGCCAAAATCAGGAACTGAACCAGATTCAGCCATTGCTGTCTGAATACTAAGTCTATTGTCTTAATACTCCTGTCTCAGATTTGCATTATGTGAGAACTTATTCATTTCCTTCTACTGTGATAGGCCTGGAATATGCTAAATTTTGGGCTAAAAGGATATATGGTGAGTAAAACCAAATACATCAGAGATGTATCTCACCAGAGATGAGAGGTGATGCTAATCAAACTATCACACAAATAAATTATTCTTGTAATAAATGCTTCAAAAGAAGCCTGTGAACATGAGCACATACATGTATATATCTTACAAACTATGTGGTCACGTGTCCCTGAGAAACTGAGCATTGAGGTAAAATTGAAGAATAAGCAGGAATTTCAATACAATAGTGGCAGAAAGACTTTCTAGGCAGAGGGACACCCTGTGCACACAGCTCTGGTAAAAACACCTGATGCCAGATGTGATTAGTGCTTATATAACTCCTGCTACTCAGAGGAATTGCAAGTTTGAGGCCAGCCTGGGCAATGTAATGAGACCTTGACTCAGAATAACATAAAAAGGGATTGGAGATACAGTGAACCCAAAAAAATTGTGGAGGTTATGTTCCTAGAGCACCTATAAATTATGAAAACCACCAGATATTGTCAGAAAATTGCTTATAAAAGCTTATTTGTATAATTTAAACCTAAAATAATGCTATGTCATCTGCAGTTACATAATTTCATGTAATAAAATATTGTATTAATAAAGTCTTAGATGGTATAGAATATTTTAGCAGCATCTTAGGGATCCCAGGGCTTTAAGAAGAACAAAACTGAGAACACTTGAGATAGCTACACTTAGTACAGTAACCCGTTAAGGTACAGGAATGCTGGTGCATCTACTGAAGATGGGTTATCTAATCAGTCCGCCGCAAGGGGAACTAAACAATGCTCTTGAATTGGCTACTTGTAAACCTGCCCCCCCCCCAAAAAAATTATGGAAGACATTCGTGGTTTCCTTGAAATTGTGGAACCTCCTACAAGCAATTACTAGTTAGGCTCTTAGCAAAAAATCTGCAAAGGACTGAGGCCATGAACTCTTTCTCTGTCTCTCTCGACTGAACCCAGAACCTTTCCATTGAACTATATCCCCAGTTCTTTTTTTTTTTTTTTTTTTTTTAATTTTGAGACAAGATCAAAGTTATTAAATTGCTTAGGCTGGACTTGGAACTTGCAGTCTTCTTACTGCAGCCTCCCAGAGTGTTGAGATTATGGGTATGTGCAGCTCATTTATCTTTTTAACTGATAAAATAATAGGCACATAGGAGAAATTAAATATCCTACCCATAGTTTCAGAGTGCAACTAAGGATTTGAAACTGGGTATGCTGACTTGTGACCACTTTAATGCCTGAAAAATTATACAGACCAAGATAAAATGTTAATACTGTTTAGAAAAGTAGATTATTAGTTCACATTGGGAGTGCACGATATGGAATGACAAGGAGTTGGGTTGAGGAGTGATGGGGGATAAGAAAATGATGACAGAAAACATAAACAACTCTTGTGAAGAACTGTGAGATATCCAGAATAGTATTTGGGATCCTTGTTTCTTTATTTCCTGGAATTCAATGGCTGGCTGAATTACCTTCTGATACTTTTTTTCCTTAGTTAATATACACATTTCTCCAGTTAAAGTCTTCTGTTGCTATGTATTTTCAGATTACTAAAGCATTTGTTTACATGATAATGAAAAACTTACATAATGGTCAAGTTTTTAGCCAAAAGGATAAGTAAGTTTTGTTTTAGTATGTTTTACACTGAGAACGCTTAAAGATTATGTTTCAGATTTATTTTTTGTAAGTTCCTGCATCTTTAACTAATAATATTTTTAGAGATAAATATTGTTGGATATAAAGGTAAACAGTTATATCAGTTATGGTTGTATTTCAAAATATAATTATTTAATTTCTTGGGTGATACCGTATCTGTAGATTTCTCAGAGTTTAATTTTTCTGCTTGTAGGCTGATATTGCACCATTGATGGCTTCCCTTATTGGAGTCCCTTTTCCCCTTAATTCAGTGGTAAGGAATAAAATTTTATTATCAATACTCAGTATTAAAAGTTGCACTGAAAAAGTTACTATTTATTTCTGTATAAACTTTACATTTGAAATGTATGTTTTTTCTTTTCTGTCTTCTGCTTTCCTCTGCTCCTGACCCTTCCTGTCTTCTTTCTTCTGTTCTGTTCTTCTGTTATGCTGTCTTTCTATCTCTTCTCTCTTCCCCCTCCCTTCCTTTCCTGTCTCATCTCCTTCCCTCCTTCTCTTCTTTTTTCTCTGGGTATCAACCTCAGGTCCTTGTGCATACTAGGTATTCACTCTACCACTGAACTATGAAAGAGTTTTGCTGTAGAATAAATTACAGGTCATTATAGCGGTAGTTCAACATGGTGGAAGGCCAAATCGGGGCTGATTACCCTCATGGTCACTTCCTCCTTCTTCCCTGATTCCAACTTTTTTGTTTCTTTCCTGTGTGCGTGAAGAAACTTCCAGTCACACCATCAGTGCCTGTCCTAAGCATCACATGCTGTTAAAGGTCACATATACTCCACCCCCCATATCCGGGCAAAAAAAAGCCCACCAAATCCTTGCTGGCTATGGGCTCCTCTCCAGGTCCTTTAAATAAAAAGGCCACTTTTACTTTTTCTTATGTTCTTCTCCTTTTATCATGCCAGGAAACTCTAATAAACTATATTCTAAAGGCTTCAATTTTTTATTTTCTAAGATGCATGTCATTTATGTATTTGTTGTCTAGATATACAAATGATGAAAAACAATAGAGAATGAGCTTATTTAAAGGAAATTTATTGGAAAGATATGGTTAGTGAATCACAGGGTGCTCAAAGTCTTTGAAATGACCGGGAACCAAGACAGCTCTAGGTACTTCAAAGAATGAGCCACAGTCATGGTCATATGGCAGAGCTATTCTGCTTAGGATAACAACAGAAGAGTAGAACAACATTTTACTCATTTCAGTTTCTGTTCTTTGACCTTTAGCAGTCAAATTCTGCATGTGCCTATTCTTTAGTAAGGGAGAGCAAAACCCCTGTTTGGAGACTCATGCTATGAGATGTGATCAAAATATATAGTGAATGTTTAAAAGTTTTAAAATGAATTACAGTAATGACACATGGCTTTTAACACATCCACCCCCACCCCCACCCCTGTAAATAGTCCCCCTCGCTGGAACACTTGCCACTTTCTGAAGCACTTTCGGAAATCCTCTTTCATGAGTTTCTCTGGGACTTATGATTAAAATTCAATTAATGCTGCTTCCAAGTTTCATCCAATAGAAACGCCTTAAAAACATCACAGTGTTTTAATAAGGTGTCCACATCTACCTTATTCATCCAGTGTGGCACTGTGTGACTTCTGGCTCTTCCTCAAAGTCAAAGTGATTATGAAAGGTAATTGTTTTGAAGTTATTGAGGACATTGAAGCAGTACAACTAAAAAGATATTCATGAAAGTGAACTTCCATAACTGTTTGGAAAGTAACAAGGTGCAGTAACTGTGTTTGAAGCAAGGCCAGGTACTTTTAGGGAAGGAATTAATGGCAGTATATCTTTTATGTAGTGATATTTGAATTTAAATGTTTAATATTTGTTGATCACATATGTATTTTTTCCTTAAGTATGCTAACTGTAGCCCATTACAGTTATTTTTATTTGTGTGTGTGTGTATGCATGTATGTAAAATACTTAGTTCGTGGCTTAGCACATGGTATATGTTTGTTAGGTTTTTTTTTCATTATAACAGATACCTGAGGTAATCAACTTATAAAGAGAAATGGTTTGTTTTGCCTTAAAGTTTTAGAGGCTTCAGTTCATGGATATCCACTATGGTAGGATGCATGGTAGAGCCAAACTTCTCATCTTATGGTCAAGGCATTAAAAAGAGGAAAGAAAAGCTTAGACTCATAATCTCCTTTGACAGCATACCTCCAGTGAACTGAAGACCTCTCCCTAGGCCCCACCTCTTAAAATTCCCATAGCCTCCTAATAGTGCCAAGCTTTTAACTCATGGGCCTTTTGGGGGCTTCTGTGTTCCAGACCATAGAGATAATCTCTCGACAGTGTTAGGTTTTAAATTATCCTGTTTGAATTTAAGTTATGCTATTGTTTTTATACTCATTTTGTGATAAAAATTGTAGAACATCTTTTAGTTATGATTTTAAAAAGATTCTTCATTTAATCCAGTGATTTGTCTGTATGTCTTACCTTTGTTGTTCCTCTTAAATCTATTTCATCTTACAAGAATACTCTGACATAAATTAACCCTAATACTAAACTAGAATTTCAATATTTATTATTTACAGGGAATCTTGCCTATGGATTATCTGAACAACACTGACCTCTTTAAAGCAGAGAGCATATTTACAAATGCAGTACAGATGCTTGAACAGTTCAAGGTAAAAAAAAAAAAAGATGCAAAAACAAACAGTATAATTTAAAAATTGAATATGGTAGATAAAAATACTTTTTTTTTTTTGTCTTTTTCATTTTTATCGGTATCGGGGATCGAACTCACGACCGCCTGCTAGCAAGGCAGGTGCTTATGCCGCTGAGCTAAATCCACAGCCCCAGATAAAAACACTTTGTTTCTTGTTTTAGTACATTTTCTATAATTTATTATCTTTAGATTTTTATATTTGCCTGGAGTCGTAAAGTTTCACATTTCTGGAATACAGGCTCTATTAGTTACATTGGCTTCAACTTATAAAGACTATAGTTTAATAAGTTTTTATTGATTGGAATTTGTCCCATAGAAGTATTACTAAAGATCACAACATTTCTTCTTATTCCATGTATGTTGTTAGGTACATTAGGAACTTGAAAAAAAAATGATTCTTTGACTAAATCTTTGCTCTATTTGTTTTCAAGGAGTTAAAAAAATAGTTTTAATTACATTACAGTATGTTATTTTGCAGGATTGATATGCCCAGTTCTCAGCTTCTTGAGCTAGTAAAATAGTATTCAGTTTTTCTTTATTTATGAAAAAATATAGTAACACAAAATACCATTTATTTTTAAAGTAGTTCACTACCTCTGAATAACCATTTTAATAGATATTTATATTTCAAAATGAAATTCTTTTTTGTTAATTTAATACTCTAAAATATTTTCATGCTTGGTTCCCAGGTGAAAATGACTCAGAAAAAAGAAACTACTTTACCATTTTTGTTTACACCATTTAAGTAAGTCATATTTATTTTTTAATCAATTTTAAAAAGGATGGTTTTGTTTTTGTAAACTGCCTTTTTGAATATATTGGTGCAAACTCCAAATTGAAGTCTTTTTCTGTTACTTTTGTTAAGTAGTGAGCCACATTCTAGATACTTTTTAATGTCTGGAAGAATAGATGGAGGGACAGAGATAATGTGAGGAAAATTAAGAAGATGACTTCAGCAGGACTTTACTGGTTGGCAAGAAAGTATGGGTTATGACTCCTTAGCTCTCTGTGTTTCTCCTTAAGTCAGCAAAGAGCAGATCTGAGTCATAGACATAGTTTAATGCTACTGACTATATGTAGCTTGGCATAATTGGTACTCAACTTTCTTGAGGTCCACATTTGTTTATAGAGTCTTTGCTATTGATCAAAATAGAGATTATTTTATTTATGAGTCTTAAAGATGTGTTGAAATATTTTTGACAAGTCATAAAACGTTGGTGCAATATTCATGAACTAGAAAGTTTTAGATATTGTATTGCCTTCTTAATGAGTGTATATCTGAGTTTGCTTATATATGCCTATATATATGGATGTATAAGCAAGCAAACATAAAGTAAAATTAGGATGCTGCAAGTGCTAGTCATATAAAATTAATTACATGAACTATATCATTAGCATATTATACCTATAGTTCTGTATAGTTCTTTTATGCTAATTCATATTTTCTATTAGTAATATAGTAGAGTTGAAATTTGTTATTGGAGTTGGTTTGAGAAATATGTGTTTTCATTTTTCTTAAGAAATATATATTTCTTGACTTCTCTCTGTATTGTAGATAGAGCAGTGAACAGGATAAAGTCTTTATCTTCAGGGAGTTTTTTTATTCTTTGGCAGTACAGACAGAGCATAACACAATTAAGTGAACAAAAAGTATATTATTGGGGCCAGGGATTTAACTCAGTGGTATAAGTGCCTGCCTGGAAAGCACAAGGTTGTGAGTTTGATCCCTGGTAATGTAACCATGAAAACCTAAGATAAATTGAAAAATTGGTTCTTCAAAATATATAACTCACAACCATGGGAGAATGTTTAAGAAGCTTTTTATCCATAAAACAAAACCAGTATTAACTTTACAAAGTGAAAAATGTACAGAATACAGTAAAACATATAAGAAGAGGAAATGCAGAGAGAAAGTTACAGAAAGATAAACAATTCAAGAAGGATGCAGGAGGAAATAGATCCTGTAAATGAGAATAGAAAGTGGATAGAACTGAAGCTAAATGAAATTTTAAGGAATAGATAAATAGACAAAGAAGCTGGAAGAGATTAGCAGCAAGATGGTATGAATGGGACATATATTTCTTCTCACCTCTCACCTTTATAAAACTAATAACAGGACCTAAAACATAAAGAAACGTCAAAAATATACTTCAAATGTGAAGCTGCCTCAGGTTGTGCATGATTTTGAACAATTGCTGGTTTGTGAAAAAGGGAATTCTACATTGTACATGAATGAAAGTTTTTTTCTTTTTTAAAAAATTTTATTTAAAGAGGAAAAAAAGCAAAATAGAGAAAAGGTTAAAATTAATACAGAATTTCAAATAATAAATGGTAAGAAATCACTAATTGATAGATTACATATTATCATCTTACAAATAGTTGTTCAGGTTACAAAATTAAAGCATACAAAGTGGACATTCAAACAATGAGACTGCAAACAGTTCTGTTCAATGATCTAATAAAAACAGTAATATGGTTATCTGTTTTACACATTTAAACATACATGCAGTTATATCCTTTAGAGCACTTTCTTTTCTCTTTTTTACAATAACAATTATACATTTTGGGTTTTATTACTCCTACAGTTATTACTTTTTTTTATTTTGAAGAGAATAAAACCAAATGTGACAAAACAAAATAGAGTCAGTCAAAACAAAAGGATGGACTTAGTATAAAAAATACCGGTGATTAACAATGGTTACCATAATGCCTCTTGCTATCTTCAAAAGAATTGCCCATATCATCGGGTATAATAAAATTGAACAAAACAGTACAGAACAAAACCAATAAAAATGAAACATTGGAGATGTTACAGGACTTCAAAAGAAGATAATAGTCAAACCAGAATGGGTATCATAGTGAATCTTCTTGTCTTCAAAGTAGTTGCCTGTACCCTCAGCCTTGATATTATCAAACAAAACAATAGAGTAAAATCAGTCAAAACAAGACAGTGAAAGCAATACAGGGCTTCAAATCAATTTAACAGGAAATCAAAAATGGTTACCATAATACATCCTGCTATCTTTGGAATAGCTATCTGTGCTATCAAATCTAATACAAGAAGACAAACTGAACAGGATAAAACCAAACTAAACAGAACAATGAGAACAATATGGTTTTCAAATCATGATAAAAGATTAACAATGACTATTGTCTTTCCTTTTTAAACAGTTCCTCCCCTTTCACTTTCACAGGGTACATTGTACATTTTGCAGCTCATTAACTCTTTTAGTTTTTAGATTAGAGAGGCAGCCTGCTATTCCCCTAAGTGATTCTGAACCTTTTTACCCCAGCATGATCTCTAGTTGTATCCATTTACCTACAAGAGCCTCAAGGTTATTTTTCTTTATAGCTGAGTAGTTTTCCATTGTATAAAAGTGCTATGGCTTTCTAGCTATCTGCAGCTGATGGCCAAGCTACCCCCACTTTTATCTGGTTCCCAGTCACACAGAGCATTGTTTTCTTGTCTTTGACTTTCAGTCTATAAACCCTCGGGTTAATTGTGTTTCTTTTGGGTTAATTGTGTTTCTTATATAGAGCATATTGATAGACCCTATCTCTTGATCCACTCTGCCTGTGTTTCTTTTTATTGGTGAATCAAGGCCATTCATGTTAGTGATTATGGCTAACCTTCTTTGCCTCATCTCTGCCATGTTGTTTTTCTACCATTGGTTGTTTACATTTTCCCTTCATTTCACTGTCTGCCCCAGTCAGTGAGCCCCCTCTGACACTGTTCCTGAAACCAAGGTCTTTTTTCTCTCTCTCACTATAATATCCTTCACTAATTTTTGTAGGCCTGGTGTGGTGGTCATGAACTACCCTAGTTCCTTTTTGTCATGGAAGTATCTTGTTTCTCCATTAATTTTGAGAGATAGTTTTGCAGGATAGATATATCAATGTAGGTTGGAGGTTATTTTCTTTCAGGGCTTGGAATACTTCACTCCAAGCTCTTCTTGATTTGGTGGTTTGTGTCTAGAAGTCTGCCATGATTCTGATAGGTTTTCCTTTATAGGTGATCTGTTTCTTTTCTCTGACAGCTTTTAATATTCTGTTCTTGTGTTGAATTTCTGGGATCTTGACTATTATATGTCTGGATGTAGATCTATTTTGATTATAGCTGGATGGAGTTCTGTATGCCTCATATATCTGAATATCATTTCCTTTTCCTATGCTTGGAAAATTCTCTTTAATTATTTCTGTAAATATCCTTTGTATATCATTTGAGTTTACCCCTGCTTCTTTACTCACATTTTTTTATTCTTAAGTTATAGATCCTCTTGTCATCTTCTAGTCTTTGTATTGTTACTTCCTGGTTCCTTGTTTTTTTTATTGATCCTTTCACAATTGCAAGCTTCAAACCTGTCTTCAAGGTTTGATAGCCTAGTTTCTTTCAGGCAGTTTTGTTAGCTTTCAATGGAGTTTTTAATTTCCTGGTAATCTCTTTGAATCTGTTTCATGTGTTCTAAATTTTTTTTATATTCTTCATTGAAGGTTTCCCTCTTTTTCTGTGCTCCTCTGTTCTTTCACCTTTAGACGTGCTTAGCAATTCTTTTATTATGTTTCTCATATCTTCTTTTACCTGTAATAGTATTTCTGTTCTAAGTTCTTTTATAACTTCGTGGAGTTGTTTCTTTATTTCAGTTGCTTTTGCTTCAAAAACTGCAGGTGTGCAACTCCCGATCTCTTCTGTGTTTACATCTCCTGGACCAGTACTGCTTGGGTTGGAGGTCAGAGACTGCCTTTTGCTTCTTCCTCCTGTCATGTTTCTGGTTTCTTCCGGACAAGCAGGTAGCAAGGTCCCTGGCACTTCCTGTATTGGTTTTAATTATTCTGAAGTGTGTTGGCTAGGTATTTCTGCTGTTTGCTGCTTTCCCCAGTCTGCTGGTGGCTACTAGAGTGTAAGCAGGGGTGGGGCAGGCTGGCCCCTCCCTTCTGAGCTGGTTAAGCACAGGGAATCTTCACTATGTTAGTGTGCACCAGCGGGTGTGGTTGGTTAGGGATAGCTTTAGGGAAACCTTGGCAGTGGCTATTGGACCACACAGAGAGGTGGGACTCAGTCTAGGCAATTGTCACCAATCTGCTCCAAGCTAGGAGTGGCTGAACGAAGCCGCTGTAGTTCTGTCTGCAGGCTTATCCTGCCCAACTCCAAAATGGTGCTCTGCCAATCATCCACCTCCGCAGGAGAATTGAGTCCCGCACACTCACCACCAGCTAATGTAGGTCTCTGGTCTGCTGCTTCCCTCCACCACCACGTCCCCCTGCCAAGGCTTGCTAGCCACCAGCTTCACTGTGCACATATGTCTCCTGGTTCTGACAGCACTTCTAGCAGGGTGGTTCGGGCTCTGGTGAAAGCGCCGCCAGCTACCGTCTTCTTCTGTTTAAGTTTTTCTTTATCTTTTTTTTTTTTTTTTTTTTTTTTTTATTCTCTCAGTGGGCTTCATTTCTCACTTTAGTTTCTTCGTGGGCTGAGAGGGCCCACTTCTTTCCTTTTTGTCTTCTCCAGAATGCTATATTCCAGCATCTGGACTATTTCTCTCAGAGAGACTATTTACTCTGCTGCCTACTGTTCTGCCATCTTCCCAGACCTTCAGAGACTTGAACGAAAGTTTTAAGAAATAGATTAGAGTGTCTAGTTAGACTATAAAACTTTGATATTCAGTAAAGTGTGTTTAAGTACTAGTCATACAATGTAAATACTGGTTTTCAGCTTTTAGAGTTAATTCTTAGGCAAAGGAGACAAGAATT